AAAAAAAAAAAAAAAAAAAAAAAAAAAAAGAAACACAAAATATCAAAATATGCGAAAGATAAAGTTAATATATTGTTCACTTTCTTTGTAAAACCATAACTGCAAAATCTATGCCTAAATTCCTGTTAGCTTACAGATTTTTCAACAATAATAAAAAAAGAAAAAAAAAGAAACATTAAATAGTATGCATACTAAAATGAAGAAAATTTTTTCAACAACTAATACCGAAGCGATAATAAATGTGATGTAAACTACAACCTAAAAAAACAGTTTCAATTTGATCCTTAATGATTTTAAATTGTAAATACCGCAAATTATACTATGCAATCGCCACCTATCACTACAAACCCATCGAATCAACTTTCTTCTTTTGGTGACTTACGAAAAATTTCCAATAAATATAAAAAATTAGCATACTTCTGTAGTATTGGAGTGTCATCGTAAGCAACTGTCACCGGCACTATATCACCTGGAACACCTCTGGGACTGTATGTAACTCGGTAAATCCGTTGCTCCACCTCCTTTACCTCTGCTTCCTGCTGGTCTTTCGGCAGGATGACGGCAATAGGAGCCTTCGCCGTACTGGAAGCATCAATGGTGAAAATATTTGATGCTCCAACCGGTAAAACATCAAGAAAATCTTTTATTTTTATCTTTGATGGATCCTTCGGATAATCTACTATTGCAGTAAATGGGGAGCCTAAAACAAAACAGCTGAAGACTACACTTTTGTTCATCATATTAGTAAATACTAAAGAATATATATTTGGCAAAGAGATATTTAGAAGCTAGAACGCACACAAATTAAAAACTTTCGCTGAATAAACCAAGCATTTTTGGGATAACCAGTTTTCGACTATATCAGTTCTTAAATTTAAACAGAACAAAAGTTGAAAAAACCCTTTATTCAAAAAATGTTTTAACCTTTCCCTTACCAATCTTATATGTAATAAATGTTCCTCCAAGAAAATTATACTGCTATGGTATTTCTAAATTTTCCCTTTTTTTCTTGTTGCACCAAACCATCATCTTTTTTTTTTTTTCAAACTTCCTTCGCTATCTCAAAATGCAATATGACAGTGTTATTTCAAACCAAAACCTTAATTGGTTTTTGATCAACTTTCAATTGGTCTCAAAATATTATTAGGCGTTTTAAAACTTACATAAAAGTTTAGTTGTAAAGTACACTTAATATTTTAGACCCTTTTTGAATGTTTATGCATGGAATTCTTGAGCCTCCGTATCAAATTTAACAGTCTCAAAAAATCTAATTTCATTAAAAAATAAAACTACTTATCGTACATTATTGAGGTAAATAATTTTTGCGCTGTTCAGTTTTTGTCATCCAATCTTAAAAAATTCTTTAAAAATCACTCATTTAGTAAGAAAGTAGTTTTACCAGGAATAGCCATCTTCTTTTCTCCAAACGTGATGTTAATCTCATATAGACCTGGTAAGAGAGGCGTATATTCAACAGTACATGAGCCATTCGAATGATCTGTTATTGAAGTTTTCGATTCTGACGGCCCTTTAATCGTTAATGCGATTGAACCCTCACCAGCTCCCTGTATTTAAAGTCAGTAGAGTCTTAATGAACACAAAGTACTTGAGTGCTGAAAAACTGACGGTTTATTTCTGTACTACTGGATTTGAGAACGGTACTGAAACACAGGAAATGCGAAGAAGCGAGTGATATAGCCCGAGAAATATTTCAGTATCAAAAGAACGGGTTAAACCGGTTGGCCTACCTGAGTGTTAATTT